TAATTAGATTTTCATTGTTTGATGTTAAGTATATCAAAGTTAGTGTGCACATTAGATGCATGTAATACGCGTGAAATTTGGTGTCAGATGATGAATCTCACATATTAGTGCCAAATATACCATTATTATTATGGAAGTTAGACGCGTGTAAGACACGTAAACCCAATATATGTTTAGTAGTCAGTTAAACACATATATTGTATACGTTAGGCGCATGTAATACACGTGGAATCTACTGTCAATAATGGATCCGATGATACTAGATGTGTTATGTTAGCATGCGATATACCATTGTTAATGTGAACGTTAAGTGCATGTAATACGCGTGGAATGTATCCAGCCAAACAACAATAAATTATTACTTTAGACTTCAGATTTTGATGTTGAGCTCTAACTCTTTTTAATATGATTTTCTTTTAATTAATGTGCACCCTAAATCTCAGTTAACAAAAAAGGAATTGAATTCAATTTTGGAAACCCTCCTCAATACAAGAAGTGTATGCCACCAACGTGAAACACGAGCCCTTCCATAACTCTCCCTGCTCCGTCTCCTCAATTTGTATCCCCAAACGTTCCTTCTCGAATAACCAGAGATTCATCCCAAAACTGTTTTTCCAGTTCTTCCATCAATCGCTCCACGTCGTAAGCTTTCTGCCCAAGCAAATAAAGGGTTACATGAGCTAGAATGCCCAAAACCCTAGCCACCACTTAAAAAACCCTAACCATTCACTCCTTGCGAGAGACGTGTTCTTACTTTCATTACAATGTTTAACATTTCATTATAATGTACAAAATTTCCATGTATTCTACATTATTTAATTAGATTTTCATTGTTTGATGTTAAGTATATCAAAGTTAGTGTGCACATTAGATGCATGTAATACGCGTGAAATTTGGTGTCAGATGATGAATCTCACATATTAGTGCCAATATACCATTATTATTATGGAAGTTAGACGCGTGTAAGACACGTAAACCCAACATATGTTTAGTAGTCAGTTAAACACATATATTGTATATGTTAGGCGCATGTAATACACGTGGAATCTACTGTCAGATAATGGATCCGATGATACTAGATGTGTTATGTTAGCATGCGATATACCATTGTTAATGTGTACGTTAAGTGCATGTAATACGCGTGGAATGTATCCAGCCAAACAACAATAAATTATTACTTTAGACTTCAAATTTTGATGCTGAGCTCTAACTCTTTTTAATATGATTTTCTTTTAATTAATGTGCACCCTAAATCTCAGTTAACAAAAAAGGAATTGAATTCAATTTTGGAAACCCTCCTCAATACAAGAAGTGTTTTGCCACCAACGTGAAACACGAGCCCTTCCATAACTCTCCCTGCTCCGTCTCCTCAATTTGTATCCCCAAACGTTCCTTTTCGAATAACCAGAGATTCATCCCAAAACTGTTTTTCCAGTTCTTCCATCGATCGCTCCACGTTGTAAGCTTTTTGCCCAAGCAAATAAAGGGTTACATGAGCTAGAATGCCCAAAACCCTAGCCACCACTCAAAAACCCTAACCATTCACTCCTTGCGAGAGACGTGTTCTTACTTTCATTACAATGTTTAACATTTCATTATAATGTACAAAATTTCCATGTATTCTACATTATTTAATTAGATTTTCATTGTTTGATGTTAAGTATATCAAAGTTAGTGTGCACATTAGATGCATGTAATACGCGTGAAATTTGGTGTCAGATGATGAATCTCACATATTAGTGCCAAATATACCATTATTATTATGGAAGTTAGACGCGTGTAAGACACGTAAACCCAATATATGTTTAGTAGTCAGTTAAACACATATATTGTATACGTTAGGCGCATGTAATACACGTGGAATCTACTGTCAGATAATGGATCCGATGATACTAGATGTGTTACGTTAGCATGCGATATGCCATTGTTAATGTGTACGTTAAGTGCATGTAATACGCGTGGAATGTATCCAGCCAAACAACAATAAATTATTACTTTAGACTTCAGATTTTGATGCTGAGCTCTAACTCTTTTTAATATGATTTTCTTTTAATTAATGTGCACCTTAAATCTCAGTTAACAAAAAAGGAATTGAATTCAATTTTGGAAACCCTCCTCAATACAAGAAGTGTATTGCCACCAACGTGAAACACGAGCCCTTCCATAACTCTCCCTGCTCCGTCTCCTCAATTTGTATCCCCAAACGTTCCTTCTCGAATAACCAGAGATTCATCCCAAAAATATTTTTTCCAGTTCTTCCATCGATCGCTCCACGTCGTAAGCTTTTTGCCCAAGCAAATAAAGGGTTACATGAGCTAGAATGCCCAAAACCCTAGCCACCACTCAAAAAACCCTAACCATTCAGTCCTTGCGAGAGACGTGTTCTTACTTTCATTACAATGTTTAACATTTCATTATAATGTACAAAATTTCCATGTATTCTACATTATTTAATTAGATTTTCATTGTTTGATGTTAAGAGCATCCACAATAGGCTCCCAAAACCACATTCTTAGAAAAAATTTAGGGAGGAATTGGAAAAATACAACTCTAACCATGCTCCTGATCCATCTCCTAAAATAAGGAGACATCTAGGAGCTCATAAATTTGAGGACAGAGAAACAACTCTTAGAGATGGACCAATCATATTAAATTAAAAAATATTTATAGTATTTATGACTCCCTAAACTAGGGAGTATGATTGTAGTTCAAATTTTATAGATAGTTCCTACAATAACTTTTGTGTGTTTTTAGCTAAATTTTAACTACAAAGTAGGGAGCATGATTGTAGATACTCTAAGTATACCAAAGTTAGTGTGCACATTAAATGCATGTAATACGCATGAAATTCGGTGTATAAGATGATGAATCTCACATATTAGTGCCAAGTATACCACAATTATTATGTAAGGTTGACGCATGTAAGACACGTAAGTCCAATATGTGTTTTGTGTTTAGTAGTCAATTAAACACATGTATTGTATACGTTAGGCGAATGTAATACGCATGGAATCTAATGTCAGATAATGGATCCGATGACAGTAGATATGTTATATTAACATGCGACATCGTTGTTACTATATACAAGGGCGGCCCTGGCATGGTGCAAGTGGTGCCACTACACAGGGCCCTCGATTTTTGAGGGCCCCAAATTATTATTTTTTACTTTATATTATATATATTAATATTATAAAAACTTTATATATACTCAAAGCGTGCAACACATTGATACAAAAGTGTATTTGGTGGAGATGGTTTCTAGTGCATATCCCTTAGTACAAGACCCATGTTTTAGTCATATATCACATCCATATGATTTCTCCTAAAAAAAAGTGCTTTTTTCCACTCAAAACAAAAATGCATGCCTTCTTCTTTCTCTTGAACTTTTATTTTTTTACCAAACATTTATGAATTTATCAAATGAAAATATTAAAAAATTTATGAATTTGATTTGTGATTGTTATTACATGCTAATTGATGATGAATTTTAGTTATAAAAAAATTGTTTTATGACATTAAGTAATGGCAATTTTTTTTTTAGTATTTTCATATTAGATTATGTGAGGGCTCCAGTTAAAGTTTCACACAAGGCTCTCAAAATCTCAGGACCAACCCTGACTGTATACGTTAAATGCATGTAATACACGTGGAATCCAGCCAAACAATAATAAATTATGACTTTCGACTTCGGATTTGATGCTGAGCTCTAACTCTTACCACATTTGTATACCACATCTTTATACCATCTTATGTGACAGTTGAGGTGGACAGCCACATCAATTAAAATTATTTAATATTTTCTTTTCTTTTATGATTTATTCCAGTATTTGTTTTTCTAATTGCCTTAATTAAAATACACTTCATTGATTTAATTGATGTGATATATAACATGAACATATCACATCATGTGGTATAGAAATGTGAGATACAAATGTGGTAAGTGTAGCATTACTCTTTTCACTGATTTGCACCCTAACTCTGCGTTTAACAAAAAGTAATTGAATTTTCAATTAAATCAGTTTTTGGAAACCCTCCTCAATACAAGCCCGCATTTTTAGAAACCCTCAGTTTTGAGTCAATTTTTGCTATCATAGAGAGGTGAAGAGTCAAATATTCAATAATCAATACCAAGGCTTCGTGGATTAGGAATTTGGGATCTTTCTTTTTTTTTTTTTTTTTTTTTTTTTTTTTTTTTGGCAATTTTGGTGGTGAGGGTTTTGAGGTTTTATACCATTTGGGGATTCTGGACCGGGTTTTTGTCCTAATTGCGACTCTGGTTTGACATTTTAAGGAAGAATTTTAGCTTTAAGATTAAATACTAAAAGAAAAAACAATTGTGTTGTATTTTTGTTAGGTGTAATGTAATTAGCTCATAGAAAAAAAAAATTCTAATATATATAAAGCAAACAAAGAATTTCAACTTCAAATTTAGATGTTTAATGTTAACTTCAGATTTAATTAAAAACTATTTGGTTTAACGACATTTAGTCTTCACTTTGTTCGAGTCAGTAGAGTTTTAAGAAGTGTGAAGGCAGCAGCTAACACAAATCCATGACAATTGACAACCCTTTCGTTTCAATACTTGAGTTATTTGCTTTGATGTCATTTTTCGCTATCACTTTGGAAGAGAGTGAAGAGTCAAATTATTGAAAACCAAGGCTTCATTGCTGTATGTTGATGATTAAAACAGTTTCTTCTAGTTTTCAGACCCTGCTAGCTTCATCTCCAAATCACATTGATAAGCATGGTTTCAATAAACAATTACCCCATGTTAACATATGGATTCTTAAACAAAAAGATGAAGTACAATTTAGACAAAAGTTCATGGAAATTTGAACTATAATTGCTGATTTCCTCTTTCATTAAACTACCATTAGCTGTCAAGAGAGAGATACAAATCAAGCAATCTCAATTCAATTTCTAGTTTTACCTACAAAACCTTGGAAGTTCTATACAAGATACAAACAATGGACTTTGGAGTAGTGCTGGAAAGGTAGAAGTTATTGCTGAGGATTTTCAACTACACCCTCATCTGGTTTCTCTTCAAGACGTTGCTTTTTGGTGCATGCTGGTGGCTCAGATTCACTGCTATCAGTAGCTTTATGCTTCAATGATAGAGGTGATGATGAGTCAGACTCAGCAGGTTGCGTCGGCAATACACCAGCTGATGATGAAGGTTGTTGTTCAGGCTCTTGGATGGAATTAGTCGTCAGCGATGACAAGGCTTGTGGAGAAAGTAAGGCGCTGCCAGCTTTCTGTTGCTCCTCCAAGATCTTCTGCAAGTACTTTGCATGATCTTCTATGCGTAGCTGAAGGGCCCTTTGAACCTACGTATGGATATAGAATAGAACCATAAAGATTGAAACCAAAAGTTGTTAATGGGCTCAAAACCTGAATTACCATGAAACAGAAAAAGCAGCCAAAAGCGAAAAAAGGGAAGATACAAAAGCAAACAATCTCACCTCAAGCTGCTCATGCAGTTGCTTCTGAACTTCCATTTGCATGCGCAGAGCCTCAGTGATTTGAATGCTCCTAATACCAGAAAGATAACGGTTCACAAAACAAAACAATAGTAAACAACATTTATTGAGAAAGATTAAATATATCAAAAGAAATATTCACCCTTTTCTTCGTCCATCACTTTCGCTGCTGCTTGAAGCTGCTTTCTTTTCTTCAGAACTAGAGGCCTTCTTATCTAAAGAGAGAAAGGGAAAAGTGCAAGTCAACAATTTGTCAAACCATTCAACTACCATATACTAAAGCACATCTAATCTTCTATCCATCATGTCAAACAAGTTGCAAAAAGATGATTGTAAGGATGACCATAAGCATGTTTCTATTTTCATCATCTCTTCCTTACCTTCTCTTTTCTCTGGCATATACTTGGCAAGTCGGTATTTCTGCAGATGCCACGAAAATAACAATATGTGGTCAAATAGCTAGAAGTAACACAAGATTTAGTCTCAAATCACCAAATAAATTAAAGATGAATACCTGTAAGTGGCTTTTCACATGATAAATGGTTAAGCCCTCAACATTCATGGCCTTTAATACACCTTTTGGAGTAGCCTCTACAATTCAAAGTAAACTGATGAGCATTTTATAAAAAAATTTACTAATGTTGGCATCTTTCCTAATGGTTCACTTGATTAACTGAGAAATTTGTGAATTGATAAATAGACTAACTTATAGAACTAGGACTCTGACTGAAAGGGGACTAAACCCCATTACAGTAGAACAGAAGTTGTTGTATTTACTTTCAGCACCATCAAGCTTGTTAACAGCCTCTACAAAACGCTCATGGAGCTCAGGTGTCCATCGCATTCGTGGTCTATGTGCAGGCGAAGGTCCAGGAGAGGGGTGACTTGAAAGAGCATCAACAGGTGGTGTTGTCAAGCGACAACTCTTACTACATGTCAATCCTATGGCCGGTTTTAGTGAGGCTTGAGGAATTTCATATATTTCCTGTACAAACAACATATTCAAACGCAAAGTACTAGTAAGTATATGACAAGCAACATATCCCCAAGAAATTCGAAACTGGCTAAAAAAGAAATAATTTGTAATTGCTTCATTCTTCTAAGGGTTGTATTGATATGCAAAGTGAGAGCAAACAAATTACTTTTTGGAAGGCCAAACATTTGGTTCTCACACCACTCTGGATTTTATAACATAATATGTCAAAGCTTACACTTTATGTGGTTGAAAATACAAACCAGTAATATCTTGAATTCTTTTTTTTATGCATATCGCATTTGATCAAAATGTAACTAAAGATGACTACATTGTACTTACGTCAAGCCCAGGATTTTCTCCATTGTCCGTGATAGCTATGTCAAGTTGATCTGACAAAAACTGTAACTCTAATTGCTCTGTAAGTGCTAGAGTGTCACTTCCACAACTAATACCATGAAAGCTACCATGAGAGCCATCTCCATGCAAATTAAGAAAGTCTTTCATGAGATCCTCTGATTCTTCGTCATCATATTGATTGCTCATATCGTCACTTAAGAGAAATGGCGATTTCGAAACAACAGCAGAAATGGACTGGCTATATGTTGGAGGATGTGGAAGAAATGGCAAATTTCCAAGCTGCCGAGAGGTTTCAGAACTCGATGAAGATGACTGATACAAACTGGTACAGAAAACAGAAGACCGCGAAAATGTGTTCTGGGAATGTTGAACACTAGATCCTTGAATATTTGTAGGAGAACCAAGAGATTCTGCCCGTATGAAAGGTGACAGGCGTGCAGATGAGCATTCACTGGCCGCTAAACTCCTGCCTTCTGATTCACTACCCAAAAAATCATGCATCTGGGATTTGGGAGTACAATATGATTGTGTCACTCCTTTGGTAGTCTCACTTTGAGGTACAGAGATCATATCATGGCGACTCATGATTGTAGATGGAAGCCCAACCTTCATCAATCTATCAAGTAGATGGTGCAATATACCACAATTTGGTAGCGGACTTGTACAGGTTGAAATCTATATATCTAGATTGAGAGAATGAATTAGAATCAAAGCTTCAAATGAGTGAAATCCATATATGGTTGCATAACAATGAAGACCAGGCAAACAAAGTCTGAGTTTCATTTAAGTTCAAATTCCACCCAAGGAATCAGCAGAACCAAGAAGCTACATTTCAACTACAAAAGTTTTCTTCAACACAACCCACAGGCTAATATTTCCCACACCATATGCTTATTTCACTAATAACATAGACCCAGAACCAATAATTCGGTTACATTGAAATGGAGGGAGAAATTAGACCACCAACTTAGAGGCCAAAGGAGCTAACTCAAATCTAACCCACCAGTAAGTTGTACAAGGACACACATTGAGCATGGTCTTCTCATGTGAAAGACCATCTTATAAGGTAGAAGATCTGCAGAAAAGACCACCAAAACAGGTGATCAGCATTGTGGCATCTAATAGCAATTTGAAAAAAAAAAATTATAACCAAATAGAATCAATCCAGTCACTGATTGACACGCTAACCAAGTAAAAGCAGAAAACCATTCGTGAATACTTCACAATCATCTGATAGGTAATGTACCTAGCATAGAGTAGATGACTAACTGTAAATGGATCACCACAAAAGTGAGTCAAAATTATCCTAAAAGGCTACTTAGAGACTCCCATTTACATTGTTCTACAACTCAATAGTTTTTTAAAAGAATATTCCCCCATTTATACTCACAATTTAAACATTTCAAACTATTTGTGCCACAACTTCATTTTTTGCTAAATGTCCCCCATATGATTCTTAAGGTCACAAAACTTCAAGCCAAAATGTTTTAATTCTTTTTTCCTTCTTGGGTCGTCAAGATTTTCTGCCTTTTCCTAATGAGAAAAGCATTCCGCCGTAACTTGAACCCTTCTATTGTTCAATACTTATATGCAGGATTTAATCACAAATTTTGGGTGCAATACCAAAAAGACATTACCAATAAACCAGCTCACTTTATACAACAAACATTAGATTCTAACAGTTCACACTTATACCTTTATCAAAAGCAGACATACAGACCAAATTTAATTGCTACAAAAACCACATTGACCATAAACACAAAAGTTTTGCATTCATTAGTCAAAAAAGGTTTGCAACTTTATTTCTTCAATAAAGAAATAAAAACAATGTAAATGGTAAGGGTTCAACAATTACTCAGTTAGAATTTCTCCAACCTTCAGCTAAGAGTCAAAGAACGTGTAAACGGCACATGGAACCCTTTAGTCACTTGAACAAGGTTTAAAAACAGTCAAACAGGATAAAGCCCCTTTTACCTAAACCAATAGGATGTTTGTTTTAGGGTTTTTTTTTATCTGGCTTTTTTTTGTTTTTGTTGGGCTGAAGCCTTGTACCTATCAATGTTGGGCTGGTTTTTTATTTTTCATTTTCTAACTGTGTAATCCCTTTCATCTCTATGGAATGAATTACCTCGCCGAAAACAAAAAAAAAAAAAAAAAAAAGAAAAATGATGATTCACACACATCATATCCTTCCAAAATGGGCAAGTCTTCAATCTATTACTAATTTTGAAAATCACCTTCAGGATTAATTGTGTATTAGGAGCTCACACTCTATAGCTTCATTGAGTTGCTGATGAGTACTGGTTTCTCATTTATTTTTAATTGAGATTCCATCAAAAAATTAATTTTTTTATGAAAACTTGTTCAAATTCAAAGAAAGAAGAAGACTAGAGCATGGCAACAGCTGCTAGCAATTTGAAAATCTTCCTTCATATTATAAATAATTGCACAAAAAACCATCTGATTCACCACAGAAAAAGAAAAAAAAAAATCACTGATTTGGGAAAAAGCTATCAAATTGATAAAAGTGTGGTGACAAAAACTGATAAAAATCTAACCTGATAAATAAAACATATATAGGGATATAAATATACAGGAAAGAGAAAAAAATATGAAATCTTAGCTTAATCGAGAGAGAGAGAGAGAGAGAGAGAGATGAGATTTAGAAAAATACTGACCTGAGGAAGAGATCTTGTACTTTGAAAGAATTCTGAGACAGAGCAAATGAAATGCTGACTCACAGAGAGACAGGTATAAATAAATGTCTCACAAAGCAAACCCAACTAACAGAACGTTGTAGTAAAACAACGTTATATGAACTAAAATTTTATAAAATCTTGGCTCACGGGCAATTGGGTTTGCAAAGGTATCTCTATAAAATGCAAAGCTTGAAGCTTTGTAGGTGGCGTCTTTGCTCTTCGCTCTTTGGCTGCGCGCAAATGATTGAGTTTTGAGACAAGATGATGAAGAAGATGGTGTCTTTCTTCATGCGCTCTTTTGGTAGAGGTAAGTGCACGCGCCAATGGGAGGTGCCAAGGTGGGTAGAGCCTCTTCATTTGTCGGATGTGTGAAGTGGTGGTTTGTGCCGCTAGCAATTTTTGATGTCGTCACCTTTGGTTTTATTCCATTTTTGTAATTATTACAGAAAGCACTAATAATCTTTAATTAGAGTACCATAATCATTTCTATGACGTAGTACTTCTTTCTTACTTTGACAAATTTCTATGCGTATATAATCCTACTTTCCTATCTTATTGGCGCATGCGGACCCTACTTGTCCATGACAATAAATATGAATTTCGTATTACATCTTATATCTATACGGGAATGAACGACTATCAATTGTTAATGAATGTGAATTCGTATTATATTTTATGTCCATATGTAAATGAACGACTATCAATTGTTTATGAATGTGAATTTCGTATTACATATTAATCTTACGTGTATGAACAATTTACCCATTATAAAGTAAGGAATAGATTTGAATAAATAATAGGCATATGCATGTGATGATTTAACATGCTCACTTGTGATTTGAAACATCTCTACTATTGGTGTATGAAAAATTAATTCTTATAAGTTGTAACGATCAAGCTTTTTTATTTATTTATTATAAATCATTTAGTGCTTATTTATTAAATTTGGTCAAATCACTATCACTATTATCTAAGACTTCATCCACCTGGCTAGTTACCCCAAAAGGCATATACTTTGAGTATGCAGAATGAACCATTTCTTGATTGTGGGGGGCTTAATCTACCATGATGTTGGATAAGGAACACACCTCTACAAGCAAGTGAAGATTTTGGTTTGCTTGTATATCTTTATAAATTCATTTACTCTCTTTGTATAATGCCTTATATGGCGTATTGAGAAAATTATCATTTAAAATTCAGACTTTGTGTTTTTCCGCGTTGATTTTAAGTGTAACTTGTGAAAACAAGAAAAAAAAATAATGGATTTATAAATTATAATACTTTGTGTGTGTGTGTGATATTAAGGAACTACTTTCAGGTAGACCCTATAGAAATGTCACAACAGATCCTCTCAGCTAAGACGGCAAATGTTAAAATAATGGGATTAAGAACTTGAAAAACAGCAATTATGATTTAATTAAAGATAAGGAAAGTGGGCCTCTTAGGCATCTCAGATGAATTTTCTTGGTTCTTCACCCCCCCATCCATGATCTCTACCATTTCAATCATTCTCTCCTGACCCCATCCACTAGGGTTTCACCCTCACAATTTGCAGCTGTCAATCAAAGGGTTATTTTTATGCATTGTTTTTATACATGACGTATGGTATAGGAATTTTGAGATAAAAGTATATCTAGACAGGCTAGTAGATACCAAAATGATCACAACTTTGTGTTTCCATTTCCAAAATTGTTACTATAACTCCAATAATAATTTATTCCTAGCCTTAGCTACACCTTAGTTAAATAATACAAATACGTGGGGTACAACACATAAAATAGACTCAACATGTTCTTTTTCTTCTTCTTCTCTTTGTGAGTATCTTGTTGCTAGTTTCTAATTAGTCATCTCCTAATTTTTTTGTGTTAAAACTTATGATTCCATGGTGTCGTAACATGTTTGGGGTTTAAGAGCTTAGTATTTATAATACATTGAGAGATACTTTAAATGAAATGATAAAATTATATCGTCTTTTTATCAAAAATAAAATGAAAATGCGAAAACGATGTATTTTTATATTCTTATTTTAGAAAATTAAATTATTCTAAAGGGATCTTTGGTTTTTTGTAGCATTACTAGAAAATCAATCAACATGTTCTAATACAGTTAAGTTCCCATTTGACATTGCTTATTTCGGGTGACAAGTGATTTTTAAAAAAATTTGGAAAGCCCAACCCGTTTGATAAACTGTGAGAAATCACTTATTGTTAGAAATTGATGTGGTATAGTAATATGATCTCCTTAACATATTCTTCATTTTATAATTACAATATGATATGATACTGGACTACAACCTAAATTAACAAATGTACATAAATGATTTATACAACGTAACTGTATTCCAGCATGCAAATCATATCACAAACAGAACAGAGACAATTTTACGTGACTATCATAGTAATTGATGTTAATATCCAATAAACTTTCTGCAAAACTAGTGTTATAGTCAAAACCATTTATAGCATTCAAATCATTAACCCTAAAAACCACCAATGAAAAACAAGTTGCTTGAATTGGTTCATTCAGATTCCACTATCTATAATTACTCTAACCAATTAGGCAAAAGTACATCATTTGACAGAATGCATGAATAGACTTTACATTTTGGATGTTGCAATTATTTTTAAATTTTTCTTTCCAACGTCACTGGTAGTCCCCACTGTGTGCAGTACTGAGTGGTACAGATTGACAAACATGATCTAACAACTTGGTTATCACACATGACCAAATATCAATTAAACTTTAGACTATATTGCCAATATTAAAGAACGGATGGTATTTTTCTTCAGTTTATTATAAAATATCTGAAATTTGAATCTCTTTTGGTTTGATATGACAATCGCATGAATGATGCGAGAAGCGATAATAGCCCTTGATACGCATGATTGGTACAGGTGAAATTACTCAATGTTGTTTTGATATTCTCGTTGATCATGACTTCCATGGAGGCAAACTGTCCCACAAAAGGTAGGGGGCGTTTGGTATTCTATTCAAATAGGAACCTTAAAAACTTTGATTTTTCTTAAAAATAAGGAGTTCTTAAATCTATATTTAAGATTCAAAAACTTGTTGGTATGCAACTTGAAAACTGTTTTAAATCTTAAAATTTGAGAACTTGTGGGTTAAAACTGAAAAAATAAATATTTTTTGTTTTTAATAATTGGGGTGTTTGTTTAGTTGTTTTTGAGTTTGAGTTTTTAAAAATAGGGTTACTAACAGGTTTTCTCTGTTTTGGACTCAAATTCTATTTTTGAGTTTAAAAAGTTGGATTCAAGTTGTATACCAAACAGGGCAAGTGACTTGTGTGCTTCATCTTGTTTCCAAACAAAAAATTTATGAATCCATCACTGTATGTGATGATGTGTTCAAAAGAAAATCAATAGTACTTCGTTTTTCTTATGTCTCGTACTCCGCTCACATTATTAGCATGAGACTGATGCCATGCTATGGATATATCAAACTTAAGAGCCACTACATCCACAAGATTGGTGAGAGAGATTTTTTAATAATGAAGGAACAAAAGGTTTAAAGGGGATGAGGAAGTTCGTTTAGAGTAGTGTTGCCTGATGGGGGTTGGAAATGGGCATTGGACCAGCAAAGTCATTGTCTCCTAACTTTTGCCCTGGATGTATGGTGTCACTTGTGATGAAGGGTCACAATCTAAAACTTTCAGGTACTGTATGCACGCTTCCTGAGCCTACATTTATGCAAACCAAATGTGCTTGGGCCCAGATGGGTCCAAAATTATTTACTGATTTAAGAAGCAAACTGATTCTTTTTTATTGACAGAAACAATCCCAACCGAGACAGATTCCTACCTAACATATCAAATGCCCTTCTTTATTGATTTGTGCTTTCAGATTTGAGCATTGGAGGAAAGGAAGAAGAAGGCTGGGAAGTGTAACAGAAATTCAAAGCAAGATAGAGATAGTGAGTGAGTTGTGATTTCCATCAGCTCAGAGGAGGTCAAAACCCAAGTAAACAATAATATTGTAGGCACATTTAATAAGGTACACAAATTTTAGTTATCATAGTACATAGAATTTCGAAATTTATTTGGGTGTTTCTGGCATTCCACCAAGTTAGGGAATCACTACTTTTAATACTTGTGGCAGAATGCAGGGACCATTCATCAAAAAATTCAAATTGAAAGCCATCTGACGTTTTATGATATCCGTTATCTTATTACACATATAGAAGTACTACTTGGAGCTTCCTTTTACAATGAACAAATTCAACAATGCCATGAGTAAACTTTGGTTTCCATCTTCCACCAATGTAGTTGACGATCCAAATGTTCATCTTGAACTTTAAATATGAGATTTACATGTTACGAATATTTTAGCAAATGAGATTTCTCGAGTGTTTAAGATTCATAATTTTCTTAAAATAATTAAATTTATATGTGAATTTTATTAACACAATAAATTAATATTTTAAAACTTGAATAAGGCAATTTACACTAAAAATGTAAATCTAAATGGACCTTAAAAATAAAATGAAGGTATAGATTTCAAGATCTCGCCAAATATATTATTAAAAATGCCTAACGTATGAAGTCATGCGAACGACAAACGGTCATAAGAATGTAGTCCAAAAGTCAAAAGAGAGATAAAGAGATAGTTGGGTTAGAAGGAAGCGGGAAGCCGAGGAAGTCGTCAACCCCACAACACCAGAAATCAAACTATCGTTGATGAATGAAAGATTCATTCTTTAGTCAATTTTCATGTTAATTTGTGTTTGGTTAATTACCCAAATCGTTTCTCTCTCAGAATCTCAGACAAAAATTTAAAACTTGAGGAAATTTTGAATTTTAGCTCATTCAGAGCAGAAAGTCACTTCCTCAAGATTCTGACTTTCATTACTTTCCCAATTCCCAATTCCCAATCCCAGCGACAACAGGGGGAAGATCTTTCTTTCTAAAATTGCAGGTTAGTTTTTCATAACAGCTGTTTTTTCATTTGCTTTTATTTAATCTTGTTCCATAACTTTGGGATTATTTGGATCCTTTATGTATACAGTATTTGGTGAATGGGCATCCATTTATTGACTTTACAGTTCTTTCTCAATACCCATCTTGCAAAGTAATTATTTTTTTTTTTTTCATTTAAGACGAAAGAAAATCAGAAGGTAAGGGATAATCTACAGAGGAAAGTTAGAGTTGAGCTTCAGAAATTTGTTTAGAATGCATTTATGTAATAATTCCTCATATTTGGGATTCACAAACTTCAATGTGTTGGAAAGAATATAGTTTTTGTGTTCCTAAATATTGGGGTTGGTAGTACTAGTAGTAATTTAAGTCAAAACCTTGTGCAATCGGAACTTGGAAAGAATATAGTTTTTGTGTTCCTAAATATTGGGGTTGGTAAGTACTAAGTAGTAATTTAAGTCAAACCTTGTGCAATCGGAACATTGGAGTGTCTTACTTTATGCATTAATGTTAGCACATTGTCTTTGTGTCCTGCTTCAACATCATCAGCATGTCCCATGTTTCTGTCTAGTCAGCTTAGTCTATTTAGTTCCGTTCACAATTTCTTTCTCTGTGTAAATATTGTCCACACTGTCTCAATATATGGCCTATGAATAAGTGACTGAGAAGATGTAAACTTTTTTGTAGACTTCATGGGAAACTATCCTTTCTGATATCATTGTATGGTACTAAGAATTCTGTGTAATTAGGTAAAATAGTCTTGTCGTCTCAACCTGTAGATGGGAGATGGAAGCCTGGAATACACTGTCGATGAGGCTCTGTGGCCATGGGGTTTGGAAAGTTTCAAATTCTTGTGCTTGCTTATGCTGGCATGGGTTGGATCTCAGAAGCAATGGAGATGATGCTACTCTCATTTGTTGGACCAGCGGTTCAGTCTGCTTGGGGTCTTTCTTCTCAACAAGAAAGTTTCATAACCAGCGTGGTTTTTGCTGGAATGCTAGTTGGAGCGTATTCATGGGGCATAGTTCTGATAAACACGGACGTAGGTGGGCCATTTTTTGTTTTCTTATTTTTCTTCTCTTCAGTTAATTCAAACAGTCTGAACCTTTATGGGATCCTGTCTATTATGTTGGGGCCAAAAAGGTGGCTACTAATATCATGTGTTTATCATTTTATTTGATTTAATTTAGGCTCTTCTCTTAATGTCAAGATGCCTTGGATGATTCAATAGACATGTTTCAATTGACTACATAAAGTCATTTTGCAGCATGGTTCGAAACTGTAACTTCAATAGCTGCGCCATTGCTCATTATCAGACAACTTTTGATTATAAGAAAGACAAATTTTGGATTCATCACATAGTGATGATTGAATATTTTTCTTTTTAATTTTTAATTTTTGTGTGGATTTTGGTCTCAGAATTTGGTATGATCTTTTGATTATGGTTATTTTCCCTAAATTCTCAATCTACTGAAAAAGAAAATGCTAATTTTTAAGCATGTGATATCCAGTTGAGCTATATTACTCGAACCATAACTTTAAATGACAGGGTTTTATTCTGCTAGTACTGATCACTCCTGCTTGGATTTGTTATTTGTAGCATCTACTTGCCATTTCTGATGTCCAGTTTTTCTGTCCATGCACCTGCACATTGTAGTAACTGTAGTTTTCCTTTTCTATTCTTAATTGGATACATATTTGATTCTTTATTCCTTTTATAGGGTTCACTGTGATCTTGAATGCACCAATTTTTCTGACTTAATGATTCTACTGGTTCTTTTTGTTTTGTCTGTACACTTCTATTTGTTCAGGAAAGGTTTCCTCATTACAGCCACAATTACTTCCGGAGCTGGTTTTCTGAGTGCTCTTTCGCCTAATTATACGTCCTTGATCCTTCTTCGTTGTTTGGTCGGTGTTGGTTTGGGAGGTGGCCCTGTACTATCATCCTGGTTTCTGGAGTTCATTCCTGCTCCTAACCGAGGCACCTGGATGGTTATTTTTTCAGCTTTTTGGACTCTTGGAACAATTCTCGAGGCTTCACTTGCATGGGTATGCTTTTGAGTACTTTATTTATATTCGTTTGTGTTTAAGCCAACTTTTCTAGATTTGATTTCCTGGATTTGTGTTTTTCTTATGTTTTGATCTTTCAATACTGGAATTAAAGGAACTTTGGCATCAATACTGTTACTAACTAGGCTTTAACAATTGTGTTAAGTAAATACAATGAACATAGCAAACATTAGTAGTAACTTCTATTGTCATTCCATAAATAGTGGATAATAAGCCAGTTGAACATTGGGTTAGCATATTTCCTTTTCTTTTCTTTGGGTGAATAGCTATTGTAAATATATCTAATTGCATAACAAGTTGACAAACAGATAGCTTTCCCTATTCAGCTTACCTGTTCAGCTGCATGTAATTTTAATTTTCCCCTGTTTTGGGGCTGTAATGCCAATATATGTAATAAGAATTTAAGATTGGTGCCTTCATATATTTATGTTGTGTTCTTTGCAGTTTGTCATGCCAACGCTGGGCTGGAGGTGGCTACTTGGACTGTCTTCACTCCCTTCATCGCTTCTTCTTGTATTCTATTGGGTAGCACCTGAATCACCCAGGTATTTATGCTTAAAAGGGAGAACAACTGAGGCAATCAATATTTTGGAGAGAGTAGCAAGACTGAATGGAACAAAACTCCCTTCTGGAAATCTTGTTTCTGATTTAAAAATCGAGTTATCTGAAAAGAGTACTCTATCAGAAGATGCACGTTTGATCTCACCAGCAGAAAATGAAGATACGTCACCTAAGGAGATGGATTCTTCTGATATGGGAGGCATCTCTTCACTGTCAATGCTTCTTTCCCCAAAATTAGTCAGATCTACCTTGCTCTTATGGGTGGTATTCTTTGGGAATGCTTTTTCATATTATGGCCTGGTGCTTCTGACCACTGAGTTGACCAATGGACATAGTAAATGTACGCCAGATAAATTAGAGTCAGACAAATTGCAGGATGCTGGCTATAGAGATGTTTTCATCGCTAGTTTTGCAGGTAAATTTATCTAATTATTTCAATGTTTGTAATTATTTATTTATGGAAAAAGTGTTATCCTATTTCTAGAAAATGGTTTAGTGACATTTAACTTTGTTTGGAATGAAGAGTTACCTGGGCTCCTCATATCTGCTGCCACGGTTGATAGACTGGGTCGTAAGCTTTCAATGTCAGCCATGTTCTTCTTGTGTTGCTTTTTCTACTCCCTTTAGTAATTCAACAGTCTCAGGGCTTGACCACTAGCCTTCTTTTTGGAGCTCGCATATGCATCACAGCGACCTTCACAATAGTCTATATATATGCCCCAGAGGTAAATTGTGAATGCATTTATCATTTTAAAAGCCAGTGGACATGAAAGTGTTTTTCAAGTGTGCAAATCCATGTTTTTCTTCAATACATGATCGTCTGAGATTTTTAGTTTTTTGGGTTTCTTTATTATACAATTTTTTATTTGAAGTTGGGCATCTTTAACTATCAGAAGCGTTTTTGAATAGAATGAGTTTTCTTTCTTCCATTTTATTATTATTTATAAATAGTACTAAAGCTGGTGCTTAACTAGTTGTAGTTCTGGAATTAGAGCCTGCCAACTAAACTCTCAATCCAACATGGGGATAAATAAATTTCTAGGTTTAGAAATGCCCTTACATGAGATTTATGTTCAAAAGGTATGGCGCTGAAACCAAGTTCAAACATCACACAAATATGTCAGGTCTGGCATACTTTGGAAATTCCATGATGGCATCTTAGCAAATTGCATAAAATGACTCTAAAATGATTATATGGCTTTGGTTGACATGAAACCCATCAAATGTGGAAGATATCTAGAGCTCGTTTTCCCATTTTTAATTGAATGTTAACTAGTTTAACTAAAATTTTCAGTTATTATATTCTTTTATGGTGGAGACAATTATGGGAGTGCTTACTGCTAAGGGAAATGTACTCTGAATCTAAACCACCTGGGTTCTAAGTTTCATATGTTGGTATATGCGTCGTGTGTGTGTCACTGTCAACTTCTTGCATATAACCTCTAATTTCTCCACCATATTTAAATATCTACATAACTGCAGTGGTAAAGCAAAATGCACTCACTGCTTAGGATATGAGAAAAACATGGTTGATCTAAGAAAAACCTTGCTTGTCGATTCACATTCTCGGTCTTCTGTTTGTATGGATTTGTGTGTTTATCCATGAAAATCAATTTGAACTAGTACCAAGTACTTAATCTCTTAATCTTTTGTTTGAACTGTAGATATACCCAACCTCAGTCCGAACAACTGGTGTCGGAGTTGCAAGTGCAATGGGAAGAATTGGTGGAATGATATGTCCTCTTGTGGCAGTAGGTTTGGTACATGGATGCCATCAGACAGCATCCATTCTGCTCTTTGAGATTGTAATTTTTCTTTCCGGGGTATGCGTTTTGCTCTTCCCATTTGAAACCAAGGGACGTGAATTGAGCGATACTGTATCATCTAACTCAAACAATCAAGGCCAGTAAATGCATTTGTATGAATATCCCACATACAGTAGAGGGGGCTTTGCCCCCAGTCTTTATACACTGCCCATTTGATAAACATGAAGGACAACAAGAATTAGGCAGGGCTTCACTTGTTCATTATACCAAATGCAGCTTGTGAAAATTAAGCACTCAAGTAGTGTTTTATTCTTTCCTTAGAACAAACTCTGTTCCTGAAGATTAATGCATTTCTAAGTTAAAAACTGAAAGGTAGGGTACAAGGATCAATTTTCATTAACTTCTGTGTTTTAGTTAGAATGCTGAAATGTTTTTTCAGTTACAGTTTGTTGGTTCTCATGAAACCAAAAAAGAAAAAAACATTTTGTCAGACCCTTGAGGTCAAATCAGAGACCACCATTGGTGTCCTTGGTTGCATCAATGAGTTTGTCCAATATTTTTAACTAGGCATCAAATACTCTGTTACCTATGAGCTGAGATCAAATTGAAATTCATTAGAGAATTGATATTTTTATTAAATTTTATGTAATACCATTACCACATATCGAGGGACAGGAGAATTGAACTTAGAACCTTTAGTGCAGAGTAAATATTCTCAAGAGAAGGGAAAGACAACATGTACAGGATCTTACAAGAGGCTTGGAGAACTCCCTGCTTATTGTGTGGCCATGGTTACACCACTTTCTGACATCTCGGGGAGAATTGCTTTTTTTTTTTTTTTTTTTTTTTTTTTTTTTTTTTTTTTTTTTTTTTTTTTTTTTTTTTTTTTTTTTTTTTTTTTTTTTTTTTTTTTTTTTTTTTTTTTTTTTTTTTTTTTTTTTTTTTTTTTTTTTTTTTTTTTTTTTTTTTTTTTTTTTTTTTTTTTTTTTTTTTTTTTTTTTTTTTTTTTTTTTTTTTTTTTTTTTTTTTTTTTTTTTTTTTTTTTTTTTTTTTTTTTTTTTTTTTTTTTTTTTTTTTTTTTTTTTTTTTTTTTTTTTTTTTTTTTTTTTTTTTTTTTTTTTTTTTTTTTTTTTTTTTTTTTTTTTTTTTTTTTTTTTTTTTTTTTTTTTTTTTTTTTTTTTTTTTTTTTTTTTTTTTTTTTTTTTTTTTTTTTTAGAAGGGGATCAATTTTCATTAACTTCTGTGTTTTAGTTAGAATGCTGAAATGTTTTTTCAGTTACAGTTTGTTGGTTCTCATGAAACCAAAAAGAAAACAAAAAACATTTTGTCAGACCCTTGAGGCCCAAAATCAGAGACCACCATTGGGTGTCCTTGGTTGCATCAATGAGTTTGTCCAATATTTTTAACTAGGCATCAAATACTCTGTTACCTATGAGCTGAGATCAAATTGAAATTCATTAGAGAATTGAGATTTTTAAAAAAATTTATGTAATACCATTACCACAGTATTGAGGGACAGGAGAATTGAACTTAGAACCTTTAGTGCAGAGGTAAATATTCTCAAGAGAAGGGAAAGACAACATGTACAGGATCTTACAAGAGGCTTGGAGAACTCCCTGCTTATTTGTAGCACATGGTTACACCACTTTCTGACATCTGCTGGGAGAATTGCTTTAGCACAGATCACGTGACCTGGTTAGCCAAGTTCTTCTCCATCCATGTACACTCCAGGACAACTCTCCTTGTACTGCTACCACATCATAAGGACCACTTGGGATCACTCAAACATTTAGGACCAGTTTGGCATTACTATGTTGTGAAAAATATTACTTCAAGATTTTCTGTGAGAGAAATCAGTTGTAAAGGAAAACAAAAAATCAATTTATGAGTGTTTGGTAAAATTGTGTGTAATGACTGAAAAGAGCATAATGTTAACAATTTTGTTTCCTTTCTAAATTAGTGAAAATAACACTTTCACTTATTTTTCAGAGCAATAACACTTCCACTTTGACTTGTACAATTCTTGTGCTAACTATGTTTCAATTATAGAGTAATGAAGTCATTATTTTAGATAGCAATATCTCTCCAACATGCATGATATCTCCAAATGTCATGACCAATTACAAAACTGAACATATGTCCATTAATAATTTTGTTTACCCCACTATAGTTTATATCTCCACGTCCAACAGTCAATTCCAAATTAATTGTCAGTTCCCATCGAGTCCCGTCGAGTATACTCCATGCCCATCATCATCAATTTCTTCTACTCTTTTAATTTCTACTCCTACTTGCATTATTGAATATATGCATTCCTTTCCTTTTATTTTAAAGTTAATTTAGAAATTAAAAGAGTAAAAGAAATTGATGGTCATGATCTGGGAGATTTGGTCTCTTCCTGTTTTTTTTATAAAAAAATTATCTGAGTCTCTTCCTGGTTTATGTACATGATTATGCAGTGTTTGGGTTGCTAGTTTCATATTGTTTTCTCAAACCTTTTGGGAGTCATATAATGAAGGTTTCATTATGTACACCAATAAATAAATAAATAAAACAGACAAGATGACAGAGAGACATCACCCAGATACAAACTGAAAAAACGTAATAAAAACCAAAACAGAATGACATAAATATCACCCAGAAACAACCCAAAAAAAAGAAGTGTGAAGTGCAGTGTGAATCCTAGAGAAAAATTATGCGGCTCATCCTTAAATCTGGGTCTCGCTAACATTATAGAAGAAAAGTGTGAAGACATTGTTAGATGGGGGTTATGCGAAAATTAAAGAAGAAAAGTAAATTTTTGTTATGCGAAAATTAAAGAAGATAAGAAGAAGAAAAAAATGAGGAAGGAGGAGAGATTCAGAAAACGCATGGGAAAAAGTACAAAGACAATGGAAGTAATATCTAAAAATTAAAGAGGTTAATTTGAGCATTTTAGGAAAATTCATTAAAACACCACTAGTTCCTCACTCGCTTTCCGCATAAGCGGAAGTATAATCACTAATTTACCTGCTTCTCCAAATAGCTTGTTAACAACAACAATTATGCTTGAAAGCATATTTATTTTTCATTTACCAAATATGTGGATGGAAGAAAACTTTCAAAATAGTTTTAATATTTTTAGTCATCTTCCGCTATCAAACATACCGATGTGTAATTCTTTTTCCTATCTATCACCATTCTTTTACTAGAAATCTTTCACAATTCATTTCTCTCAAATATTTATGTTGAGGATTTGCATTGGTTATTTGTACATTTCAAAGTCAGTATCAGAAATTGATCATTTGGTCTCTGTCAGTATCAGAAATTGATCATTTGGTCTATGGTAGCCACTGCACGAGTGGGTCAGCCTATAGCAAGGTACACAAAAGTATGGTGTTGCAGATGTCAAAGACTCTGACCCAAGACTCAAAATAGAAGTAACTTTTTTTTTGATAAGGAAAAACAGAAGTAACTTACAACCCAAACTATTTACTGTTTTATTTATTTATTTTGGGTTTTTTTAAATGAGTAATTTATTATTTAATCTTCTTTTTAATGACCAAACAGTCCCCAGAGAAGTAAAAGTCACTCAGAGCTCATTACATTTGCATATTTCTCTTTCCGGGTACCCACTGTTCTTTTGGCACTCAACATAAATTTACCATTTTAGTGACTTCCACGCCCAACTTTTATTTTCTAAAATTCCAATTACTATTAAATAAATAAAAAAAACCGAACAATATAAAACGAAAATGAAATTTGCTTTATTTTATGATGGGATACAAAAAAGAAAAAAATAGAGAAGGCAAAGCGAGAAACTTCTTGTTTCTGCAGGATAAATATGGAGTACGTTATAAATATATAAGAGATATAATTGTTAATAATGTTATGAGGAGAGAGAGATAGGTACATATACACATAGTAGATACACTCTGCCTCTGCTTAGATTCCCGTGCGCGGTGTCTCTTTGAAAATTGAAGATCTTTACCTCAGATTCATGGCGGCAAACCAACCGCAGGCTCCAGATCGTACCTCTGGTACGTCAATACCATCAAACCCATATCGCAAATAACCTTCCTTTTTGCTTTTTGTTTTTTTAAAAATTCTGCTTGCTTCTTCTCTTCCCTTTATCATGATTTTTGATGATTTTTGTTATCTGTGTTGTGGTGTTAATCTTTTCCTCTGATGGGTTTCTTTTGTTTGTTTGAATTTTGCTTTGATCCTATGTAAAGTCAATGAATTGGATAATTTTTCATTTACTTGTGAAATTACTTGAACAAGTTTCTGTATTTATTGGGGAGGTTGGGGCTTTAGCGTTTTTTAGTTTGAATTTTGGCATCCAAGGTTGGCTTTGTCTGTAGAACTGTGCCCTGATCTGGGTTGCAGGCACGCTTGGGAGTATCTAAACATTGGAGATCTATTATCTGGTATTGTTATATGGCAGAATTATTGCAAGCTTTGGTCGTTTCATTTTCTGTTTTCTTGTTTGGATTTTGTGTTTGAGAGGTCATTGCTTATTGATATGTCGGGTCATATGATTGGGTTACTTGGAGATCAGTCATCATTTAGTCCGAATGCTTGATATATGTATTAAGTTATGTTTGCTGCATGTATGTATATGCATATAGTGAATATGCGTTTTGATGATTATGTTTGGTTTGTAGGAGTCATTTGGATATTCATTTTCAGAATTGCTGTCAACAAAAGCATGCACTAGACTTTAGAGTGGTTGTGCAATCAATTAATATGTCATGCGTGTAGTTACTTGCAGACTCAGTTTTTGTTTTTAAGAAGCCTCTGTTTGATATTGCACGGAATGCCAACTTTCCTGAACTAGAATTATATAGGTAGAGCATCAGGCTTTTTCTAATTTCTCGTTGTTGTAGTCTTTATAGGTGTATTGTCATGTTCTGGTTTACTGGGGACTGGGGAGAGGCAGATAGAAAAGGAAAGATATTTTCTCCGAAGTAGTAGGAGGTGGATGAATTGGAACAGTTAATATCAGACTAGCTTAAGATGAAAGAATTAAGGGAGGTAATGAGGCTTTTGAGGTCAATACTTTTTTTCTTTTTTTTCCTTTTCCTTTTAAATTTGTGGGAAATTTTACTTCACTTCTTTTTTCAATATGGGTTATCACTAGAAGCTCTCTGGATAACTTATAC